AATATGGCCAAGTGCAGGAGGATCACAGGGCAGTGGGTGGAAAGTCTTGTGGATCCAGTGGCGGTGGAAGCATCTCAGTACTGGCGTCAGTCTCCATGTGGCTCCTTCAGCTCCAGGGCTCTGGCTCCATCAGCATAGTTCCACGCGGCTTGTCAAGAGACATGTCTCAACAGCAGGAAAGGGAAGACAGAAAGAGACTCACTGTGGCCTCCAGTGAGCCATTTATCTCCGTTGTGCCTCCAAATGAGGTCATCAAACTGTAACCTGATTGACAGTCTAGACTCCAGCCCTTCACTCAAGTTTACAGGAGATTATGTAACTGCCACCGACTGGATGACATTGTCAGAGGAGGTGACACCAAAATGACTGTGTATACAGTTTCCATGAAGTATTTCAGTAGAAATGTATGACTTTTTTAATAGAAATATCTCTGTAGTTAGTTATAACAAGGATCCCTGCTGGCACTGTGGAATAAGAGTTGGCTGCTAACCAAAAGGTTGGTGGTTGAAAACCCACCATCTGATCCATAGGATTAGTATGAGGCTATCTGTTTCTATAAAGATTTACAGTCTCAGAAATCCCAGGCAGCAATTCTACTCGATTCGATGGGTCAGAGGGTCACTATAAATAAGGATAGACTCAATAGTAATAGATCTTGTTGTGCTTTGTGTTTAATTATAACAAAATATTTTTAAGACCAAGGTACAAGTATCAATGTATTTCAAAAAACAAAAGAACAAAACACCCCAAACTCACTGGCATTGAGTTGATTCCAACTCACAACTCATAGGGTAGTGTAGAACTGCCCCTGTGGGCTTCCAAGACTAACTGTTTACCGGAAGAGAAAGCCTCACCTTTCCAGTTCTGAAGGGTTGCTAAGAGTCATAACCTTGAGCCTCATCAATCTCTTCTTCCTTTTTTCAAGATAGCACTTATTAAGTCCCAAATGGGGTAAGGACAGGACAAATCCAGAGACTTATCATCAGGATGAGGGACAGCTATTAACACGAGGCTACAATGGTATCCTAAGGTTTGCTTCGATACGTAGTTTTTGAAAGGACATGGGAGGTCAGAGAAAAGTGTCACATAAACATGGTTTTTGACACATCAACACAACATAGTTACTCATGAGACTCTCAGAATGGGATTGGGGCCAGGATAGGGACACATGAATTATGTAAGGCAGAGGAGCTAAGCATATTAGTCCTGGGGTTTCCCTAAGGTAGTCGGGGTATGACGTAGGACTATGAGATCTCCAGTACAGTGAGCTGCTTCATCAAGGAGACACCCAGGTAAGTCCTGGAAGAAGATTGTGTTCCCTGAGTTGGAAAAGATTCACTGGCAGAGAGTGAGGCTGGTCAGCAGGGTGGAGGTAATCCACGTTTCAGTGTAGTCTGTCTGAAAGCAAACTTATTCTCATCCCTGGTCAAGAGTCAGAGGCGTTTCACTGGAGGCTGAATCCACATGGGCACTCTGCAAGTGGTTTTTAGCTTTCCCTGTTATCCACAGCTCTCTGCACACTTGGCACTCAGAATTTAGGCTCTAATACAATTCTCTCTTCTGGTCATGAATCTTCATGTTAACATTCCGTAGCTCACACAGACTGGTATGTTCCTCCCATGAGGACTTAGCCTGCACTTCACATAGATGGATGCTTTCCTTAAGAAAAGCAACTCCCATGGTATTCTTTCTGATAGCAAGGCACCATCTTAATTCTTTACTCAACGTTGCTGTAGCACCCATATCTTCAGTAATAACTACATGAGGGCAATCATTGGGCAAGGCCACATCATAAAAACCAATTGTTGTTCACTGGGGCTTATGATTAAGTGGGAACTCAAAAATCTATTAATATGTCTGAGGTTTCTATAGACCATTTGTCCACCTTAAATCCAAACTCACTGCCATGTAGTCAATGCTGACCCATAGCAACCTCCTGTGGGTTCCTGAGACGGTACCTGTTTAAGGGGGTAGAAAGCCCAGTCTTTCTCCCAAGGAGCTGCTGGTGGTTTTGAACTGCTGACCATGCGATTGCAGCCCAACACATAACCACCACACCACCAAGGCTCTTTTAGAGGCAGCATTCTCAGCTTCTTGAGCAATAATATAAATAATCCATATAAGGCAGTTGGTTATTCTAAGAACGATATCATTAATCTAGCCTCTGGTATAGAATGTAGAATACTAATGAGAACAGGAAATATACATACGTAGGAGAGGTTATGACTGCAGGTGTTTTCGTAGTCACTGGCTTGTCAAAATGCTGGTGCTTTAGCCACAATCATTCCATAAGTAGTACTTGTAAACCAGCCGTTCTCAACCTGTGGGTCGCGACCCCTTTGGGGGGTCAAGCAACCCTTTCACAGGGGTTGCCTGATTCATAACAGCAGCAAAATTACAGTTATGAAGTAGCAACAAAAATAATTTTATGGTTGGGGAGTTCACCACAACACATTAAAGGAACTGCATTAAAGGGTCGAGGCATTAGGAAGGTGGAGAACCACAAACCTAGGCCAATGGAAGCCCCAAGAACAAACCAGCTTCTCACTGGTTTCACCAAGGACCCTGCCAGTGCCACCAGACAGAGCTGCCTACACCTGGGGAAAAGGGAGGGAGCCAGATGTAGGGCTGGTAGGCAGGCTGCGGGAAAAGCCCACTTCTCACAGGAGAGAAAACGAACACATGTGGACTAGAGACAAGAGCCTGGAGAAAGAAGCTGGGAGAGGTGGTTGGCATTTGTGTGGCCAGAGTGCGGAGCCAGGGGAGGGGATACCTAGTCCTTCTT